GCGCCATTAGGATAATGGTTGGAGAGTAAGTGAAATCTCCCTATGTTATTGATTGGTGGTCATCATACGCTCTTCAGAGTATGTTCGGTGACCTGGTACGTTTGAATATTGTGCGGCTTGCATACATGCGTACTGTGGATCTTCGGTTTTCTCTGTTTGCCGAGCACATTTCGCTAGCGCAACTTTGTCATCCTGTAATCGTATTTCCCGTTGGTCATATAGAGTTTGGAGTTACTTCTTGGGAGAGACATGTTCTCGTGGATTGTTCTATCCGAATTGTGGCAATGTTTCGCGATACAATGAGGTGTAGTTCCGTGAAAAGGGAGTCGGAGGCGGTGTATTAAGAATGGACTTCCACACTTTATTATCCATTAAACACTCGGAGGTTAATACATGAACTGCTCTCATTGACAAGCTAGCAGGAATGACTAGCTAACGCTACCGGTGTTTCCCATAAAGGGTCCCTGTACAACACAAACAAGGTGAATTATGGTCCCCAATATGGTGTCACCACAGAGGCATATTTAAATATAATTGTGAGAGTAACTACAGTAAACAACATGAACAAAGCACATACGTCAATTTGTCCTCGACACCAAACGCATAGTTCACGTCACGTTCGGTAAAATAAGTCATGTGACTCGTCAAAATGGCGCCGCCCACAGGGTTGATGTTATTTCGGTAATTAATCAGCTTAAAATCACTGATAAAGTCATCGGATTCAAAAATAAATAAAAAGACTGGCAGAGACTGGTCTGTTTTATCGGATGATATTTTTTTTTAAATGCGTGTCATGAGGATTCCCTCCCTTTAACATTCAATCAGCCTCTCCATGAATCCACCTGTAGGCACAGATTCTAGGCTTCTCCTCTGGGGTAAGTTTGTTCTCGTCACCTCGAATTCTCACAGTGTGCTAAGCTTTCAAATGTATGCTTGCAGTGCTGTGATAGGATCCCCTCCATGCAAGACATCAAGAATACATTTGGATTACTGCATTTTAACCGAGCTTTTGATTGAGAAATACATGTACAACAGCATGGGAGGCTAATATGGTTATGTTGCTTGAGAACTTCATTCATATTTCAACCATGCTTCCTGATCTAGCTTCGCCAGTATCTTTTTCATTATTTGGGCTGTTTTTGTTGGAGTTTGCCTTTTTCATTTGATTCCTGCATAAAGTATTTGACTGTTGACATCCATATTATTGCACAACATAAATATTTATTTCACAGCCTGGCAGAGAGCCATCACAGACACCACTTTAAACCTGGCAGATGTATAACAACATAATAACTATGCAGCTTGTGAAAACGACATTGTGCATGCAAAGGCGCATTCCAGTTTTGTGCTGCACTCACAACATTTTTGTTTCTGCCAAGAAAAGGTTACTCCTTCTAAATACCGTGGGACATTTTACATGGAAATGCTGGTCTTGTAAATACAATGTACAGTCGATTTTCAAAGGTTATTTTCAACGGCTTTTAGACTCACTTTTTATAAATAAATGACAAAAACCCTCCTGATCTCTACATGCAAAGTTGGCCTGAAGATACATATGCATAATCTAATATTTATGCTATGCAAATTTAAAAGTTGAAGCTAATTTCAGAACTTGGGATGCAAAAACTAAAACCTTGGGGCTACTTAACTAATTGACTTGCAAATGCATCTTTGTTTGACTGCCATGTGAGCTAAATGGATGTCAATAGGTCAGGAGAGCTTCACCAGAAGAAAAGGAAAATATGACAGGATGATCTTTATACTGACTGAATACAAAACAGTTTTAGATATTGGATAAGATTTCTGTTATCAGATAAATAAATCATGTATGTGCATCACCACAGAAACACACTGAGGTTATATTTCATGTAAAACAATAGGCTGAGGTTATATTTCATGTAAAACAATAGGCTAAAGAAATGAGCAAAATAGGACATACAGTCACACCTAGGTTTTGATGGGTAAGCAAGGGACAAGACCCAGGCAACATTTTGAACAGCTGCATTTGACCCCTTAATGAAAACACAGATTTTGCAACCTTTTAAAAAAAAAGATATCTACTACAATCTTCCCATATATACGCATGCCTCCAGGAAAGAAGGTGGCAGTATGAACCTCAAAGCATTGGTCGTAATCTGCCATAAAACGTAAAGATGAAGGAGAGATGTAAAAGCTCCGCTGCTTTAAGAGGAGTCCTGGGGGAGGAATGGAGTAAACACGGCAGAAGCTACTCTCATTACAGCCACAAATGAACGAGAGAATAAGATAATCTGAAAATGCGGAGATCTATAGTATATACATATATACGTATATATATGTATATAATGCATAAGATCCACGGTTGGAAATAAAAATAATAATCTGAGATTTTAAAAATCAAGTCATAATATTATGAGAAGAATCTTTTTTTTCAAGAATAAAGTCATAATAGCCGTTGCTTCAGGGCTGATGTGCATGTTTGAGTTTTTCCTTACAATTCATGGTTTCTGTAGCCTACAGTTATTTGACTTATTTTAAGAGTTTGTCTATCTTGTGACCAGTAGCCCTGTGTTATTGTGTTTGCGTCGCCCTCACTTATAGACACCTTTGCTCTGTTGTCTCCAGACTCAAGGATGCTTTGCAATGAAAAGCCTGAGGAAGCGTCTGTGTGCTGCTCTCAACCAGAGTAGGTCAAGTCTACATTTATGTGGAAGACAAGTCAAATAATAGTTACTGAGTGACTTGCTAACGTTGTCTCATCCAGAGACATACATTAACAGTACTGTATCTGTGGAGATGGGAGCAGAGTTTCTGTAAAATGACAACCTTTATTTCTCAAAATCTCCCTAATATGAGCCCTTTGAGTCCATGGGTTTAGCAATTAATTAAAACAAATTAAAGTGTCATGGACATGAATACCACATGCACATCCAAAGAGGATCCATCCCCAAACAGAAGACAAGAGGAAGAGTGAGTCATGCCTGTGTGTGTGTGTGTGTGTGTGTGTGTGTGTGTGTGTGTGTGTGTGTGTGTGTGTGTGTGTGTGTGTGTGTGTGTGTGTGTTGACTCAGCAGAGATACCACTAAATGAGAAAAGTTGATCCAGGGGAGAACAAATATTTTTAAGAAATACTGAATACTGTATTATATATTTTTATTTTAGATATTAGTTTTGTTGAATTGTCACCTGGTGTCAATTGACATAAATACAGACATGTCCACCATAAATGGAGGCACACCGGTGCATACAAACCTTAGGATCATGTTCACAACAACAATGCATTTGCTCAAACTTACAACTAAAATAATATATTTTCGAATGAACCCCTTGCAAAAGTGGGGACTTGGCTGAAACATGAAATGGTACAATATGATCTTCCTCTCCATACCATTTCTAACGTGGCAAAGGGCACCAAAGCATATATTATGCATGTAGCAAAACGGCTCCCAAAACTAATTTTACATTTCAAATTTGCATAAATCAGTGTGTTAAAACTCGACTCAGTTTTAATCTTTTTAAACCATCCAACAAGACAAGACTTTGGACAACTCAAATGTGGTAACTTGTGACACGTTACAAATAAAAACGTGTCATTCAAATGCAAGGCTAAAACACGTCTTACTTTTGAGATACAACCACACGCGGGCACACACAAACTGTCCACACCGGTTGGACTATCACTTTTCAGAAGCCAGACACCAAAAGCCCAGCTTCAAACAGCTTCTCGGGAGCACACGCGCCTCTTTTCTCGAGTTTAGTCTCGGAGACTGAAGCCCCACATGGGATGAACACCGTCCGCTCAAAGAGTGTTTGTGTCGGCTTACCTCTGGCTAACGTGGCCGGGACTCGCGAACCGAGAAGTACGAGGATGCCAAAACTCAGGTAGCATCCTCCCGAAAACTGTCCCATCACTGCCCGCGTCTCCCTCCCCGCCGGGTCGGGGGCCACTGGGCTCGGGTGTCCATCTTCTGTCGTCTGCGTGAAGCACCCCCGAACGCGGTACCGTGGCCCCGTGGGGGGTCGCTGTGTCCAGGTGTGAGGGGCTGCTTACTGTCCGCCAGGAGAGAATCGCAGTGCGGAGGGAAAGAGGAGGAAAGTGGCGCGGAGCTCCGAGTCCGCTCTCTGCTGCGTGAGAGTGGGGGAGAGCCCGACAGTTCCCAGGCTGTCTGAGAGGGGGAGCGAGAAAGAGAGGGAGACAGGTCGCATCCAAACCCCTGTGGACCTGTTGAACAATTACAAAAGTGTGCGCATGTGCCTCCTTTGTGCAGAAACAAAACAGGCGGTTCGAGACCGAATACTCCAAGGTGGCGGGGGGTGGGGGACATGCTGGGGCTAGTTATTTAATTAATATTTATTTATTTTTCCACCTCTTATATTTGCACGGCTTTCCACTTATTATACAAATACTGCACATATGTTTTACTAATGAATCTTGAGCATAACCTAGGAGCATGTTCCATGATTGCTGTCCAATTACCAATTAGGCAGAGAGTAGCTCAGACGACTTCTCTCCAAATGTTCATTTTAAAACCCTTTCACGCATAGAGGTCACTACAGTGGACAGCTTTTCAAAATGTGTTTTCTTGTATATGCATGGGTTTTGATGGCATAGTTGCACCATCAGCCACTACATAGGACCCCATTGCATCATCCCATACACTGCCACTCAGTGGAAAGTCAGTGTAAGTGTATGATACATTTCTCTAAACCAAGATGGACGACAGAAAACCAGATGGACCAAATCACTCGTCGATATCTTGCCAATCCTTTTATGGAAAGCGCCCCCTGCAGGTATAACAATGTTGGTGACATTAAGTAACTAAGGAATCATATTCATACATTGTCAAAGTATTGATTTTATGTTTGCAGGAAATTATGATTAATCACCTGTCCTATAAAGTGGACGTCATGCATCACTGGCTATATTTCAACTACAATTCATACTGTACTGCTACTGTTGTTCTTGAAAATACTTCATTTGCAATATCTTTTTGGGCCGTAAATCATTATACTTATGTTATTATAATGTCATTTTAAGTTTGTACATTTTTATTTATAATTTGTTCCAAATGTAAATCTCTTCAGTTCACACTTTAACGCATACTGTTCATAATTCATGCATGAAAGGAACGATTTAAGTCCTATAGCTTTATTGGACTGATCAGACTGAAGGAATACACAAGTGGTGGTGGAGGACATAATTGGATCCTTTAAGTAACAAAACGTACATGTAAATAAGTAATTAAAGTATTAATTTTCTTTAAAATATACCAATAAAAGCTCTGTACAGTAAATGCTTCAGTAGGCTTATACAATTATATATACCTCTGAGAGTCTGGAGTGTTCTCTGTAAAGGAATACTTTCAGAGGGATATAATATTGTGCAACATGTGTTATAATACTGAAGCAAAGCCATTATACAGTACAGGCGGAAAATTTCCCCACAAGCGAAAGTCTAAAGTAAACCGTGCTTTAGTACAACGTACATTAGCTACTTTTACTTTAAAGATACTATGCAGGCATAATGTCACAGTTAGTATTTAAATGTGGTAATTAGCTGAGCCAGAACTCTTTTTTTAAATAGGCCTATTTGGACCTGTTCAATTGGCTGTAAAATAATGCACTTCTCATCATATTTTTCATGAGTGGGTAAATCAGGCAACCAAAAAACAAATGCAGACAAACACACGCAGCAGGTATGAGAAAAGTAAATGTACAGGAGGAGATGGTAAGGAACATGTATCAACGAGATGGCAGTCCCAACATTAAAACAAATGCAAGAGCAGGTGAGCAGGCCAGGAACAGCTGGCTCAATGAAGAGGCTGTGGAGAACATAACACTGACACTCTGGAACAAACTGGGGAGAAGGGGCTGGGAGGGGAAATGAGACACATGTGAGCAGCTGGATGTGGTAAACATCCGAGTGGGACAGGTGGAAAAGCCTGAGGCCATCTGGTGGACAGGTGGATAATTGCAGATTCAGCAAAGGGTCAGAATTAAGGTGGCCTAGGGAAGACAATATGTGATATAATGATAACAGGTATAACATATTAATTTGTAAGGGAACTAGCTATCCAAAATGTAGTTCTCCCTGGATGGTTAAAATATTAAAATAGAGTGCTTAAGCTCAGTGAGTACACTTACTTTTCACCACTGCATATTCTTTGGTAACGTAGTTTAATCAATAACAATGCAGGGTATTCTCTAAATTAATCATGAAAATGTGAGTTTCGCTTTCAAATTAGTGTGCAGTGAAATACAATATTTCCATTAGAAATGTGGAGTTTATGAAGTAACATTAAATGCATATACTCCAGGAGAAAATGATCCTTACTTCAGTAAATTCTGCCACTGCTGATTTCACATGAGAATAGACTGAAGAGTCTTTCTTTTATCGACAGCTATCTGCTATTGAAACCTATTCAGATAACAATATAGCCCTCAAAGACTGTAAAAGTATCCACTTATACTGAATCATTTTCAAGCTATCAGCAGCACATGTTAGACACACATTCGGCACCATCCAGAATGTGTGTCTATTCTTTTTTGTATGTAAATCACTGCAGTTTGACCTTCTGTGACATAATTACCCTATTGACCAGACATTCAGTGCTTCAGCAGAGTTCTTGCCAGGGGTCATCCGGTCATGCAAGGTTAACTACTTGATCATATTTAAGGGAGCCATAAACTGCACATCAAATATTTGGGACGGCTTTAAGGCTATTGAGCTACCTGACAGATGGTGTACAAAAGAAAGACTCGGCAGATGCTTTTCTTTTGTTGAATTATATATGTTCAAAACATAAAGATTTGTAGAGTGAAACATTCACTTGCTATTATACTGTAAACCCTTTTAGCCAGTGCTTGAATTGGGCCGGTACTCACCGGTACGCAGTACCGGCACTTCTGATTTTTACCCATGTGGTACCGGCACTTCTTACTGAGTACCGGCAAGGTGCCGGTACTCAGTAAAATGCCGGTACTCAGCCGCCGGCACGTCATGACGGCCCGGACTGGCCATCGGGGGGACCGGGAGGTTTCCCAATGGCCTGGCCTGTTAAGTGGCCTGAGGATTTTTTTTATACGTATATATTGTGAACGCAACGCAGCGCAAATGTGGGTCTGACTCTGCCTCACAGAGGGTGACTGGCTGTCTACATGACGTGGCCTGCCGACATTGCCACTTTCATACAGATCATACTAATGCCCTCGATTGGTCTCTGTGTGTCATTCAAGCTCGGGAGGGTGTGTGTTGGTGTATGTGTGGCGCGAGCGAGTGAGAAAGCTCGCGCACCGGTTACGTGTATTGTTGTTAGCATCTGGTGCTAGCTAGCTGCGCTAACGGATATAAGGAGCTGTTTCAACAACAAGGTGGAGGGAGAGTCCTTTGCTGTCAGACTGAGAGGCTGATAACTACAGCTCTGGTGAGGTAAATTACTCTCTGAGTGTTTAGATAGTTAACTTAGTTTAAGTTATCTCAGTGGGTCTCAAACGGTTCGGTCACCATTTATGTAAACACATATTTCCATTTGAGGGGGTAGTGATTAGTAAAATATGCATGAATAATACAAACAAAATGTTAACTAGGTGAAAAAAGGTAAGATAAACTTGTTGAGAGCTAAAACTAGTCTTTGCTGTTGCCTCAAAGAGGAGCAGGGGGGAGAGGAGGGAGACAGGAGAGGCCGATTCAGGAGCCCAGACACACTCACAACTATAAATGAACCAAAAACAAATAAATAAACAAGTTTCAATGTTTTTTCATATTGGATATTGTATGTTATTGGTTATGGCCATGTACTTATGATTTTATGATTATTTAAATGTATACATTTTTGTTTCATATGGGTGTAGTCTCTTTATTTCCCCCTCAAAATGCACCAGATTGATGCATTTAAGTCCAACATTTTAAAAAAAATCTTACCGGGGGAGCATGCCCCCGGAACCCCCTATAGGATTTGAGGCCCGGTCCCACTGTTCCCAAATAGATTTGCAAATGTTTTTAAATAGTAACCCATCTCCATATGTTTCTTTTTGGGTAGTAGATTTAAACTAGAGGGCTATCACTTTGTGCAGCAACGCTATTGACAAATAAATCCAGCAAAATGGCACAAAAAACTGGTAGTGGCCTCAGGGACGAGGAGTCATTTAACCAGCCAGTAGGAGTCAAGCTTTACTTTCTTTTATATCCATAAAGAAAAAGTAAATCTGTTTACAGTTGTTTCATTATGGATGTTGAGAGGTATCCATATATCTCTTCATTTTGCTCTCAAAGTGCACCAGATTGATGCATCTAACTTCAATATTTAAAAAAAAATAATCCCGGGGGAGCATGCCCCCGGACCCCCCTAGACTAGAGGGTGTCAGGTCCACTCCCCACTTATAAAAATAGCACTTTACCACTGCACCCCCTCTAATCTCAGATGCACCCTGAGTCATTTTGTTTAAGTACAGTGAGCCTTTCTAAAATATACAGTAAAGAGACAAACCCACCAGCATTATAGGATATACTATGACTTTGTGCCAAATACTTGTTGCTGATTTAGAGTACTGGCACCTTTTTTATTCCAATTCAAGCACTGCTTTTAGCAGAAGTAGCAGGATTTATGTCAGCAGAAAAACAACTACCTAAATGTGTGTAATAAAAAATATGTATCAAATAGGAAGAAATAAATGCCGCTGGGTGCTGAATAGTGCGTCACACTGTGCTATATTGTCCCTGAAAGGCCACAGGAAGTGCTCAAGTGTTCCATTGTGAGAAATAATGTTGTGGGTCATTTAAGTGTGACGTCAAAACTGCAGCTTTTTGTATGTAACTAATCAAGCCTCAGGAATAATAAAAAAATTGACTTTGGAACAAACAAATATTAAAGAAAAAAATACCCTTCTTCTTCTTGACAAGATAAACAATTTTTTTCAGCCTTCAAAGATGTTTTTGCTCAAATTCTGTGAGCAAAGAAGGCAGTTCATAACTGTTTTTTTTTTCATTATAGTGGGGCTTTGTTATTTTAAAATAAAAAATGAATCCTAACAATGTCTCTGATATATTTTGTTGCAATTTTGTCCAGCAGTGGCGACTATCTTGTTCTTAATTATAATTTCTGAACACTTCTACTGAAAACGTGTTGTTTTACAGTTCTTTAGCTTCAGTAAAAAAGAGATAATGACTGAAAACATGCTAGTTTACAGTTTGTGCAGAAAAAACAGCACATATTTATTGCTTTTTTTGAAAGAGTGGGAAGGTAAGAATGGTTGGCACCTTTTATTAAGCACATGTAAATCAACAGTCATGTTTACTCACAGATATTCTATAAGAAGAAGAGGCATCCCAGTGTTCATACTGCCAAGATGTTCTCACTTTAACTATGAACCAAAATACTTTTCTGTTCATAATTGTGAAGATTTAAAAAAAGCACTGTCAGGGTTTGAGTTTTTGTTGTGTCTAGTTGTGGGGTTTTTGCTGTTCTATTTCGTATATGGCTTCGCCCTCTAAGGCTATCGCTGTTGGGTAATCCCCCTGCGCCCCCGCGGAGCACTGAAACACTTGTAGTCCACGCCCACCCGCTGAGA